TACTTGATTTGTGCAATATTTACAGTATGTGTAAAATGTTGCACATTCAGCCTTTAAGAGTAAATTGTAATTTAGGAACATCTCTGTATAGAAGTGCTGCCGGTTTGTGCCAAAAGTACAGTTCAGCTCAATACATGACAGTAATGTGAAGGCTGAAACTGATTTGATGCGTTACATTAATGCTCACTGGACTTATATATTTTCTGTTTACATTGCACTCTGTTTTAGTATGTAAATCATGCACATTATCTGCACAACTGCACAGCTCCTCAACATCAAAGTCAGAAAATAAGACACATTATAAGGGACTTTGACAGTTAATTACTCAAAAAGTACACAGTAAAAGTATACTTCATAGTACCTGTGCATGTAGTCTAAAAAGTCCTAAGTCCAACCATATCAGAATTATTGTGTACTTATGGAAGAACATATTTTTTTATATTTTTTTCCCAGGAAAACACCTTATTTTGAAAAACGGAAGTTACCGCAGACTCGCAGTTTTATTCTCAAACTAATTTCACCGACCTCCGAAGCTATTCCCTGAACAGGATTTTGTTTGCTCCCGTTTTATACACATATATCTCATAGCCAGTTTTATGGTAAGACTTCTGCATTTATCACTTTATTTAAAAAAAGGAGATTAATAACAGACTCGCTCTCTCTGTCTGTTACTCCTGCTCGCTCTGCAGTCCGGAGCATTTACCATAAAGATCAGAATACGTGAGCACTCAGAATCATTGTCTACTTATGGAAGAATTTGTTTTTACAAGACATCAAAGTCATAAAAAAGACTCATTATAGTGATTTATTTTGGACTTTGACAATGGAGTTCTCAAAAAGCACACAGTAAAAGTACTTCATATTACTTGTGCAGGTAGTCTAGGAAGTACTAAGTCCAACCATATCAGAATCATTGTCTACTTATGGAAGAATTTGTTTTTACAAGACATCAAAGTCAGAAAAAAGACTCATTATAATGATTTATTATGGACTTTGACAATGGATTTTTCAAAAAGTACACAGTAAAAGTACTGTGAGGCGGCTCCAGCAGCAGCATAACGACGGAGTATCTCCGCCTCCTCTGCCGCCACCCGTAGGCTGTTAGCCATGGCCCGAAGGTGGGCCCGAACAACCCCTCACGCAGGTGCCTCCACGAGCTCCCTCCTGGCAGCCTCGGGGATGGATGACTGCTGCAGCCAGACGTGCCGATGCACCTGCGTCTGCCAAGTCGCGATGTGTGCAGAGGTCACTGCAATCGTGGCGCAGAGCGACAGAGCAGCGCTGGAGGCCTTCCTCCAAAAAAGGCCGTCAGTTTGGAATCCAACGGAGGTACCGGAGGAAACCCCCAGTCCGTGAAGCCCTCCACCTTCGTTATGGACGCATAGGAGGTCAGCATATCCATTGCCCCTTCCACCGAATACTCCCCCACCTGCCACACTGGCTCCGCGGCCACAGTGTAGGCGTCCGCTCTCCGCTGTCACTCAGCACGGGGAAGGCACAAGCAGAAGCTGCACGTTGCCCGAGACGTCAGAGCCAGGCTGGCGTGTTCCGGCCCGAGGCAGGACTCACAGAGGGTATGGTGGTCAGTGGGCATGATGTACCCTGTACAACATTCGGGACAAACACGAATCGTCGACATCTTGTGCTTATGCAACTTGCTATTTTCGAACTCACAGTGCCCACTCGAGCACTGAAGAAAAGAGGGAACATATCACACGGTCTCAGCCGGTTATATACCGGGGATGTGGACCGTGGGTGGGGCCCACCTCGTGGGTGGGCGTGGACTACAACTCTTTCAGTGCTGCGCAGGTGCGCGAACGATAAACCCAATAGCGATAGCCTTACTTATACGAAATAGAACAAAAAAGACTGGGGACAACTACAAAACATATCATGAAACACTGAAGACACAGAACTCAAGAATGTAAAAAAACACTAAAACATAGAGGAACACTAGGATAAGAAAAAAAAAGGGAGACACTAAAGACTAAACTAGGAAACAAACACTAGGGAAGAATGAGACCAAATAAAACTCTGATAATCTACATAATATAAAACCAAATCAGACCAAATCATGACATAAGCAAAGACAGCAAAGACTCTGGGGTGCTGGACCGAGAAGACAGAACATGGAGACAGGAGAAATGGTGGCCACTTCTTTTTGTCTGGCCACCAGGGCTACCAGAAGAATGGCCAAGCAAGTTCTGTTCAACTTCGAATACTTTATTGATGAAGAACAAGCTCAGAGGCATATGACTAGAAAGCAGGTGAAGAGTTAAAGACTCTAGTCCACTCAGGGAGTAAGTGTCTGAGCCACGGTCTTCAGATAATTTCCTTTTGCGCCGTGGACATGGCTGCCTCTCTGTTCTTGCTAGAGCAAGCATTTTTAAGTAATTTTTATGACGTGAGGTTATAAGTAACCTCACATAATTCAAAAGAAAATAATCCTTCTGCTGGGTCCATTGTTTGGTCAGTTTGTTCTGTCATGGATGGAAAACAACAAATAAAAGACAAAACCAAAACTTACTTTCTAAAGAAAGTCCATAGTCCAAAAAGTAATGTTCAACAAAAAGTCCAAACACAGTGAGAAACTAAAAGACACTGGAGCACAGAGATTTGGACCAGGAGATACAAAGAAGGGTTGACATATAAAGAGCTGACAACAAGAGGGAAGGAAACTGAGGGTGCGGTCGAATTGTCATTTTTGCTTAGGAAGATTCCTAACTGAGTGGGATGACCCGGAAGCATTGAAGTGGCGGCCATGATAAGAGCCGTCTGAATTCTCTAAAAGCAAAGGAAAGGTGGGTCAATGCTTCCTTTGTAACCTCCTTTAGCATAAGATACACTGGACCATCCTTTACCCAAGGAGATGAGATATACCGTGCCACAATTCCTTGCGGCCGCAACATTTAAAGCGAGCCGCACATCCGACCATTCACGGAAATGAACAATGACTTTAAAGGGGCTCAGATCATCAAAGGGACATTTTTGTCCAGATGATGTTTTATTCAACATATTTCATTCACTTCAGAATGTTTTGAGCAGTTGTACATTTTTATGCTTAAAACATTATGTATATCTTGCATTAATGTAACAATTAATTTCATACAATCATATTTATTTTGATGTTGATTTATGAGTGGACAGGAAGGTGGTGGTTTCACTTTTGTTACTCGTAGCCTGGTAGCCTATGGGCCTTTTATTTAAATTATTTTTGGTAATTAGGATTATTTCACCAGTAAGAAGGCACAGGGGAAAGTTTTTTAGATTCACTTTCAGTAATCCATTTTCTGAACATTGTAGTTTCACCACGGCAGACCCACGTCATTAACCTCCGCCACCGTTAATAATAACATTGCCTAGTGGAAATGTGGTCGGATTGTCAGAACAATGCAATTGCCTTTCCCTAAGTCCTTTATGAATTCTCCTAACATCTCTCCTTAACCTCATGACGTTTTCCCCGGGGTTAAGGTAAAGTGGATAGGAGGGGCAAGTCGACTGCATCCTTTGTAGGCACAGGGGTAATCAGACACAGGTGAAGACAATCAGGGCGATCAAAGTGGAGGGAAACCAGACAAAGGCTGTTTTAGAAACCGTGTACTACATACTACTATCTAAAGCAGTATGCAGTATATACTGTATACTGCATACTGATTTCAACAGTAGTATGTAGTATGACTGCCAGTCGTCGGTTATTTTGCAGTATGCTTGGCAGTGTTAAACTGGTTTCCGGTCCTGGAATGCGGAAGTAAAAAACAGCCCATCTGGAGGTAATTAACATAATTAAAATAAAATAAGTCTACAATCTCTCATATATTCTGTCATTTATACACAATGCCCTGGGTTGAAATATGATTGGCATGCTTTTAAAGTTGTAGTATACTTTTCAGACATGCAGGTTTAACTTTTACTCAGCTGTGAATAATATGAAGAGCAAGCCAAGGACCCTGTAACTGCAGCTGCTTGTCCAGCTGTGGCACATGCACTGTATAGTCTACAAAGCAAGGCAATCTGAGGTGGTAAGACTTATAAATATATGAACATGTCATTTGTTTTTGGTTCATGCCCATAATGTGGCAAGATATTCAGTCACTGCCACAGATGAGTTCAAACAGCTGCGCTCCGGCATTTTGATCTCTGACCTGGCACTTTGCATTGTGGGAAACAGTACACGAGGTAGACTGGTCCAATGCATACTGTACATTTTTCCCGAATCAGTATGACATCCTGGTATTTTTGGCATACTGCGGATCTCGCAGTTGTTCGCATACTGCATTATGTATTTTGGCCAAATCAGTATGTACTAGTAGTATAGTATGCGGTTTCGAAAAACAGCCAAAGTGAGGAAGCAAGAAATACAAAATATCACAGGAAACATCAAAGACAAGACTAAGGAAATGCACACACAGTGAAAAGAGAAACAAAAGGATACAATTGGATAATAAAACAGTTATTTAAAGCTTAACACTAAAATAAACAACAACACAAAACTAAACCAGAACTCATGACAATTTCATTTCTATATTTTAAAATTAAGTACTAATTATTTACGACAGCTGTTTCCCTCTGCATTTCTGTACAGAATGTCAGATGTTAGTGATGCCATATTTTGTATCTCTTTTGTACATTTGTACATTTTCAAGAAATGTTTAATAAAGTACAATTTAAAAAAAAAAGGATGTCTCAATTCACGTTAGACTGTGGTGTTGGTCTGAGTGAGGTTGAAATAGATTCAGTATTCTGTTCCACCAAGTCAGTCAAATCTAAGCGTGATAATACGACCCTTTCAGGATACGCCATGCTCGCTGAGAGTTCATTGTGCTCTGGAAAGAGCGACGCAGATCGCCACCTGTGTATCACAGTGGGAGCAGTTTGTTTGAATTATGAGAAGTATTTAGCACGGCAGGTTTAGGATTAGGGTTATGGTTAAATAAATAAATGCTGGTATAACAAAATAAACACACTCAAGCAGACATGAAAATAACACAAATCCGCGTGAGTTGGAATGAAATGGAGGTTTATTTCGAATCTTACTGGGAGCATCGAGACAACATCAGTGTTCAGGCTGCAAATGAAAAGCAAAATGAAAATGAGTCACTTTTTTTTGTTTGTTTCTTCACACATGTATGGACTCTTTTTTTAAACCTGGGCTCCATTTTTCAGATGTTTTCTTCTGAAGGACTAATTGATAGAAGACATTACTCAGACTTTTTCCTACTAGCCCCTAGTAACTTTACTGCTGGGTGAGCTGAACGCAGCAGGACATAATCAGAAAATTCACAGCCAGCGAGCAGGAGGGGGCGATGACATGTACATCCTGCAACCGGCACAGGACCATAGACTGTATGCATGTGTGAACAACCAACTCTGGAAGATTTTGGGATTCAACCTGTCTAAAATTTTCTAGAAATCCTTCAACTGCATGTGTGAAAACGACTAAAGATTAAGCTCCCTGGCATAAAAATCTAACAACTTAATGTTTGAAAAGAAATCCACTCTCCCACACATTGTTACCTGCAACACAAGGGTAGATGTACTGAGTCTCAGCCTGGTCACCTGAGAGGAAAAAAGAAGAAGAAACCAATCAAAAGCAAAGACAAATTAATGAGCAAACTAAACACAGACATTTTGTCTTTGTTGTTGTTGCAATAAGAGATTGTGGAGGGAAGCACCTTGCAATTTTGGCTCATCTCTGCAATGTTTCCAAATTTGACTGAGCACCCTGCCTAAACAGCTCTGCATGTTAGAAGCTTACTTTTATTTTACTGAAGCAGACAGCTATGCTATACTAGCGAGGCTCTGGCTACCTCTGGCTTTGAGATACCCAATCCCACCTCGAACAGAAGTGACTTTTAAGACTCCATTACAGATTTGAAGGTACTTTAAAGACAAAGGCTTTGGTGTTTAGCAGAACGATTCAGGGTTTGGGTGCAAAGTATGTCTATCTGGCTTACTTGGCTGGTAGTAGTCGTAGATCTTGACCACAGCTGGCTTCAGGTTCTGCACTGGGAGCTCCTGTATGAGCCTTAATTCATGATTGATGGGGATGTCTTTCTGCAACTACAAGGAAAAACAAACAGACAATGTTGTTAGAAACTAATCTGCAGAACATTAAGTATTATTATTTCTCACTTTGACTCCTCTCACCTCCTTAAAGTAAACCATAACATGATCTTTCTTTTCTTCCACACGATCCACCAGCTCGGCACGTTTGAGCTGTGAGGAGACAACAGCCGGCTGGATTATCATCACCATCATGATGACATCATCATCACTCTGGTCAACAATGAGGTATTAACTGACCTTCTTCAAAGACTCTGGGTCTGGGACAAATCCAGAGAGCATTTTGATATCCAGGATCACCATGTTTGTAGTGCCCTCCTCTCCACTGTATCTGTACACAGCAGTAAACTAGTTACTTAAAAAGAATATCCCTCACAGGGCCTTAACCTGAACTCCATGCACTGTTATTATAAGCTCCTTCACACAACAGTTATTGGGTAATAGCCTGATAACAAAGAGGTAACTAGATTGACATTTTCACATATTATAGGTTTTGTCAGATAATGCTTGTGCAAATGAAAATGAGTCAAAAAGACATTGTCTAATTCACACTAACACACAACAAGTCTTAAATCTTTCTCTAACTGTAAGTCTGTGCTGTTTGTATGTATTTGAATGATCCATTATGCAATTATTTGGAGGGAAAATTGGCACCAGTTTGTGTTTAAATTGAACTTACAAGCTCTTGAATTTCAGGGAAAGCCTGCGTCTGTTAGAGGCGCCGGCACAGTCAGCTTCTGGTTGGACGTCCACCATCAATGTGCTGACATCAATAGGAGTTGGGATGTTGTAGTGAAGAGAAATCTGGAAAACAAGTTCACAACAATCTTCAACTCTTCTCACCTGATTTTGACTGAAGTTTTGTCTTTGCAGCTTTTAAAAGCCAAATGTTTACTGATTTACACCGGACGCTGTTACTGTGAGACACTCATTTCAAATGTCAGAAAAGATGTTTTCCCTTTGACTTGTGACAAAAAACTCACATGCCTTTAAATGGATCAAATGTGAAATGTTGTAATGTAAGAACAATATGTACTCGTACTTTAGACTTTATTCATAAACGTGTGTGCTCTTAAATGTTTCACAAATGTAATGTCCATGAACAGTATTTTGCCTTAAATGTAAATTTACTCCCAAACAAAACAAGAATATAAGATGGTGAGTGACGCGGATTACAAGTTGTTTGAATAAGAACAAATCAAATGAAACTTTGGTACCATTAAATTAAGTAATACAATATAGAATCCTCTTGAGGGTCCAGGTAATCATGTGGAAACAAATTGTTCCTAATAACACAAATAGCACGTTTACTGACCTGCGCTGAAGCACACGCCGATCCCTTCACCTGCAGGCTGTACTTTCCGGCCCCGCCCATCAGCACCTGCTCCTGGTAGAGCAGCTTGTTGTCCTGGTTCACGTCAAAGAACAGCTGCATGCTGGGAGACTGGACAGCAACCGTGCTGGAACCTCTTGGACTGAACACCAGGGTGGAGTAGAGAGCCAAAGCCTGCAGAGCCACCACTGTGTCCTACAACACACACACACACACCAGATCAATAATATTTGTTATGAATGCATTATATTTACGGGAGGAAATGCAGACAGCACTTCTATAACGATGAAAGGATGTCTTTACCACTGGGAACACTTTACATCTCTGCTGAATCAACGCTGTAACATAATATATATTTTTAAAAGGCAGAAAAGAAGGTGAGCTTTTATTTTGAAACATTTCCCCGTGTTCATGGAGGAGTTAAAATTTGAAGTCTACAGTTGTACGGTGGCTGACAAAGGCTACCACTCTGCAACGGCCGAAACAACGTTCATTAGGAACAATGTGCAGCAAAATTCAGAAACGATATATTAGTTTAAAAGAAAATGCAAAAGTCCAAAACAAAGGTATTTTTGATTAGGCTTTGTTAATGTATTTGCAGCATGTATGAAGTTGTTTCATTTGCAGCTAGCTGATATTAGCAGCCACGTTTTACAACCTCTCTTTCTGCAGGACTCAAGCAAGTTTTCAAGCAAGTCTCTGAGTTCCTGTCCAGAAACGATCTGTTTGACCCAAATCAGTCAGGCTTTAAGCGGGGCCACTCTACTGAAACTGCACCACTGTCAGTAACAGAATCGCTACGAGCTGCCAGAGCTGCGGGTCAGTCCTCAGTTCTATTACTGCTAGACCTGTCTGCTGCCTTTGACACAGTCAACCATCAAATCCTCCTATCCACGCTCTCTGAACTTGGCATCTCAGGATCTGCCCTCTGCTGGTTCGTGTCCTACCTCTCTGGGCTATTCTTTAGAGTGTCGTGGAAGGGAGAGGTGTCCAAAGCGCACATCTTATCCACAGGGGTACCTCAAGGGTCAGTGTTTGGTCCCCTTCTTTTCTCCATATACACACGCTCACTTGGTTCAATAATCTGCTCTCATGGCTTCTCATACCACTGCTATGCTGACGATACCCAGCTCTTCCTGTCATTCCCACCAGACGATGTTACAGTCTCTACAAGAATCTCATCATGCCTTGCTGATATCTCTAAATGGATGAATGAACGGCACCTTCAACTCAATCTTTCAAAGACTGAGCTCCTTGTCATCCCAGCCAGTCCCTCTATGCAACCACAGATCAATATCCAGCTTGGAACAACCAAACTCATGCCCACAAAGTCTGCCCGGAACCTGGGTTTCATGATTGATGACCAGCTAACTTTTAAGGTTCAAGTAGCCTCGATTGCCGGGTCATGTCGATTTGCCCTGTACAACATCAGGAAGATCAGACCTTACCTGTCAGAACACGCTACACAGCTCCTGGTACAGGCTCTTGTGATATCACGCATCGATTATTGCAACTCTCTACTGGCAGGTCTTCCTACATGAACTATCAAACCTCTGCAAATGATACAAAATGCAGCAGCACGACTGGTCTTCATCTCCTTACACTGGCTCCCAGTTACTGCTTGCATGAAATTTAAAACTCTGCTGCTCGCTTACAAAACAGCGACAAAAACTTTAACTCTCTAATCCAGGTCTACACTCCCTCCCGCCCACTACGCTCTGCCAATGAAAGGCGTCTGATCCAACCTTCACAACAGGGTCCTAAGTTTCTGACTAGACTCTTCTCCTCTGTTGCACCCCGGTGGTGGAATGAACTTCCAAACTCCATTGGATCTGCAGAGTCCCTCTGCACCTTTAAGAAAAAGCTAAAGACCCAGCTCTTTCATGAATACCTACTAACTTAATGATGATGGTCTCCATATTATTGATAATGATGATGGTAATGACGATGGTTTTTGTTGGATAACGATGACTTATAAGATGGTTTCTATACTGATTAGAGCTCTCAAAAACTGCACTCAATGTTGTGCCTCTGGTCACTTCCTGTCAGCACCTGTGTGTCCAATCGGACTCAAAGCTGATCGTTTGCTCTTACTGACATTGTTCCCTTTTTCTAGATCCTTGCTTGTGTTGTACTCTGATGTACGTCGCTTTGGATAAAAGCGTCTGCTAAGTGAATTGTAGAATTGTAGAATATAGGACTCAGGACTGTAGATTAACATCTTGGTTACTTTTTACCAAGAAACAAAGGAACTGATCAATGATTTAAGTCTCCCTCTGAGACAGGCTTTGGAGGACAGGATATTATAAACTTTTACAACCAAGCGGAAACAGAACAGCCTGCTATCTACGAATTGACCCCAAGGACATGAACTGTGACCGAAACCAGTCTCTGCAAAAAAAATCTTTCTGGCTCAAGCAAGGCCCCTTTTACTTTCTTTTCCAAAGTCTTGGCTCTACAATTTTGAAAGCCAATTTCTTAATTTAGTTTCATCGAGATGGCCATCAGGTTAATTTAAATTGGAAATCGACGCATCAAAAGACTCTTTAATATTTTTCCTGTTGGATCCACTTGGAGCTGATGACGACACAACCACTGAACTGCCATTCCACCTCCATCCTAGCTGCACACTCCGACCCAGCTGCTTCAGCATCTAATCTGGCCCAAAGGACCTCTCTGGTAGCTCTGGAAGGGACAACTAGTCGGAGACTGAAACAGGACCAGTCGGCGGAGTTCATCCGAACCACCTCACAGTAAGAGCGTTGGTTCCGCAGTGGTTGTTGAGAGATTAGGTCATGAGCTGTGTCTATTCAGAGCTCCTTTAAATCCAAATAGAATCCCAAAATTTGTTTATCAACTTTTTCTCCTTTGATAATTTGCTGATTAAATCATTCAAACAATACCGCGTTTTGTCTCATTACTAAATATATAATGTCACCATACGTTATAATTGCATTATCCCGATCATAAGAATCATATTCTTTATCTGTTTTATCTATACCTTATTGTTTACCATTTCTATATTAAATTTTACACATAAAATTCAGAACTTTGTCTGTGTTTTCTTGTTTAAACATTTCTAGAACTTACTTCTAGATATACAAGATATAAAACTGACTGATTAATTAATTACTACAAGTAATATTAATTTCTTTACTTTGTAAGGTGGTGCTCTGAGGTTAAATAAAGATATAATATTTGAATAAATAAATTACGCTACATAGGCATGACATGCAGAAATTTAAAATGGATATAAACACAAACTTCTCTTTCCGTGAACAAAATTGTATGTCTTTTTTTACAGCAGTGCTCCCACACAAAAAAATCTGGCAATACTTATTTTTGGTTGCATTAAGCACCACAATAAAATAAGACAAATTGTAATTTTTATATGAATGTAAGATTAAAATCAATCTTCCATAAGTGTAAAATTCAACAGGACAAACCTTTGTTTGTTGTTTTCCTAAAGGAGACTCAAAGTACATGGTATAAGTCTTTACATTAACCAAACAGAGACACAATCAAGACTTTGAATATCTGTGTGTTTTAAAATGTAATCGTAGTTCCCTTCTTCAGTTTCTGTTGTACTTGTATACAATAAAATCTAAACTGAATCTGTTTTGGGTAACTTGTTTATAAAAAGAGATTCTGATAACATTGTTGGCAACATAGTTCTCTTTTTAAAAGAGTCCACTTTGACTCTATTTGAGGGTTACCTGTGTGGAGGAGAAGCCTCCATAATAGTTCTGCTTAGTGGTCAGCCATCTGACGATGCGGGTGGAGTATCCCAGGTCTTCAGCAGTAGGAGAAGAGACGCTGAGTTTGGCCAGCAGCACATAAGAGCTGATCTCCACAGACAGAGAGGACGAGGTGTCTGCAGCGGTCTGAGACCAGTGGAGGTAACCTCCTGAAAACACAAACAGAACAAACAGGCACGAGGTGAGATACTGTCACAGTAACGAGACCAGAGGGATTTTCTTGAGGAGGACGACTCACCTTTTTGAATTGCAACTGTGTCAAGGTGTCTCAGAAGGTGAGCACGGGTCTCCATGTCACCTGCCAGGGTGAAGACGTACGCCAGCAGAGCGGTGGCGTAGGTGTTGCTGAGGTCACTGATGGACTCCCTGAGGCAGGACAGGCTGCTTTTCACCACAGGATCCTGCAAAGATAAAAAAACAAAAAAACATGACCTGATAAGGAAGTAATCATTGTAATAAATGAAGAATTAAAATATGAGGGGTTAAAACAATCACAGTTTTAAAAAGAATGTTGTTTTATTAGTATTGAATAAACAGTCTTCTGTGTGTCACTGAATGGTACCAGTGAGCCGTCAGAGTGAGGGGATGAAACAGCTCAGGGGCTGTGGTGTTGTTCTGTTAGAAATGATACAGCTGAGACTATTGCTTTTATTCACTTCTAACCCGCAATTCACACATACTCTGTGCGCGCCGCGGTCCGTCAGCGCCACGGTTTTGCTCCGTCGGACGGCTCGCGCCCATTCACACTGGATCCGTTTCTGGGACGTCAGTGCACCCATGACACATCACAGGAGAACCACAAGATCCCGCAGGAATAAAGAGAAAAACATGCAAACAACATGTTTCTTTGTCTTTCTGAGGATGCATTGTTGTTAATTCAGTTCCTGTTTTGACGTAATGTTGATAAAGTGATGAAAAATACGATCGCGAGTCCGTATATTGTGTTTTATTTTGAAATTGACCGGATGCTTTGTGCGTTTCCTTGTCTGACTCCCTGTCCAGGCTGTGATATTCTGTCCAGCTTGACACGAACCTCCAGCGTACTCCAGCGAAAATAGACTCGCTGCGTATTTGAAACGGAGCAGAGCGCAGTGCCGTTGGTGTCTCGTGCCGGAGACGGACCGCAGCGCGCGCTGTGTGAGCACAATGATTGACTAGAGTGACAGCTAAGTACAACGTAGTGCGCGGTGCTGACGGACCGTAGTGCGCACGGAGTATGTGTGAATTGGGCTTAAGAATCAGAATAAAGCCTGATCAGGTTAGAAAGGCCAATCTGAAGACTCTGAATGCTGTTTGTTATTCAGATCAATATCCATGCAAACACTTGATCCCATTGTTTCTTTCCTGGTCGGTGTAAAATGATTCTGACTGCTCATTTCTGCCCCTCTCCACAGACATGCTAATATCTGTCTGACAGTCCTCCTGCACTCTAACCGTTAATTGACTGAAGTGAGTTTGCAGCTTTAATTAGGGAGAACAGCAGAAAAACACAATACACTGGCCAGTGACAGTCTGACCATCTGGGATTTGGTCAAATGCCTGAATGGCCGACCAACTATGGGCCATTTGGGTCACAAAGAAGGATCACAATGTAAAATGGGTGAGCTATCATGCTGAGAATAAACGATTGTAGGCACCGACACCTGAGGTTAAATGAGCATGACAAAACTGTTTCTCATATAAAGACGTACTTTTCATGGGTAAGTCAAGAAGAAATTAAAAGTTTGCTTGATTCAAATCACGTCAGCCTGCAGAGAATAAGTCCACAAAGGATGTGTTTTAGAACGTGAGGTAAACAAAGTAAAACTGCTTTTTCTTATTCTGGTGACCCACTGTGACATTCGTGTGTGTGTGTGTGTGTGTGTGTGTGTGTGTGTGTGTGTGTGTGTGTGTGTGTGTGTGTGTGTGTGTGTGTGTGTGTGTGTGTGTGTGTGTGTGCGCGCGCGTGCGTGCAGCCTTTTAGGAAAAACATGCCTCAGCTTCCAGTTAAAAAGGACATGGCATTCATCGATGTTAGAGCACAGGTGTGCTGTGTGTCAGTCGATGTCTGGGACAAATTTCACTCCAGGAGTCACACTTCATAATAGAAATAAGAAAACAACGACGAAGCTGTTTGTCCTTGAACAAGTCTCTACTCACATTACTGGATGAGTTCATCTCCAAGAAGGCAGCAGTGATGTACGCACTGAGAGTCACTTCATCAGAGACGCCGCCCTGAAGAGAGAGAGCAAACAGAGATTTGTATTTACTGTGACAGGGATGTCCAATGACAATTACACAAAAGTTTATAAAAAATATAAGTTTCTGGCAATGTAAATATGTTCCCATGCCGATAAAGATATTTTCTATTTTGAATTTGACCCATTTTCGTCTTATGTCATTTCTACACAGTTTGTGTTTACCTTCATTCTGTTGTTGAAGAGTTTCCCCGACTGTTGGAAACAACCATGTTCCTGTTGTCTGCGAACCAGCCAAGACTTTGACTCTGCAATATTTTTTGGGTCAATGAAGACGAAAGACCGTGCTTTGGCGAAGGATCTCAGCACGAAAGCCGTCAGCCTGAGGACATTAAACAAAGTTACACTGTAATCTAAGTGAATGCTTGATTCTGATTGGCTGCAGGGTGTCTGTTTATTCCAGATAATGAACCTCTTTACTCCCCATCCTGCCTTTGTTTGGTGCACATTATACCCCACTGTCTCCTCACATTTCCTGTCTCTCTGTAGAGAAGTCATTAGAACAAGAGACTTAAAGGATTCAGTAATGTTCTCACCAAGTGTTCCCTGATCCGCTTCCAAATGTGCTGTAAGCTCCTCCCCTATGCTTGTAGTTCAGCTGTCTCTGGTAGCCTGTAGAACAATCACAGATGATGACACAGACTCACATTACACTTGTTCAAAACTCAGAAAAACTTGCTTTACGTGTGAGCTGATGTGAGAACACAGCGGGAAACATTCAGGAAAATTCACAGTGAGCAAGTTGAAGGCAGTGTTGACGTCTATATTCTACTACCGTCGCACGATTTAGACTGTATGCTAATGTTTGTTGTGATTGCTCTCAGTGCACTTTCTCACATTTCCCCCTGTAGTCTGAATCAGGATGATCGATGTTATCACAATCCCACCCAGAGGTTTAAACAACACAAACTTCAGATTTGATCAGGTTAAAACAGGATTAGATCACCTGATCTAAATCCATTACAAAACCCTTTTTAAACTTTTGAACAACCGGGCCCAGCAGGTGTTTAAATCTGCTCTACACATGTTTTACTTCAGTAAAGATTAAATCAAAGCATCATGGGGCTTATCATCCATGTGTGGCCTGCTGTCCAAGTTTTCTTATAGAATAGCTGTTTCCTGTTTTGAAACACGTTCAGAACTCAAAGTTTAGCATCAAATAAATGATAACATCTTAATAAATCACCTTTTTAAGATGTTTTTTAATAAATGTCATGGATATGTTTATAATCTCACATTACCTTTCATTATGTCTCTCAGTATGAGCCATGGTTTCTCTTACAACAAGATTTTTTTTTTGTTTAGGTGTGTTTCTCAATTGGTTTCTATATGTGATGTTACTATGACAACCATTGTACTTCATCCGCATAACTATCCTACCTGCAGGAATCTTTAGTTTTTAACACATAATGTACTTTATTTTAAGTTAGTAAAAACAGTGAGGTACATTGATAGAAGAATAGACGAGGAGATAGAATAATTCTCTTTTTTTTGTTGCATTGATATGAAAACAACAATACACACCACTGGTCAGGAAGTTGCCCGCCTTCTCCATGATGGCCGGGGTCAGCTGCTGCGTGTTCTTCAGGTATTGGAGGATGTAGATGTTCGGGGCCAGAAGCGCCATGTTCTGCTCGCCGCATCCATACGGCATCTGCAGCAGACCGTCCAGGTTCTTCAGAGCTCGGCCCAGGATGTCACCTGAACAAAAACGCTGACTTCATTTCTTGGTGCAAATGTGCTCAAATGGTTAAATGTTGAGCACATCAAGAACACTGAGCCTCACTCAGAAACACACTTACACAGTTTTTACATTCATACAATCACCAACGGTTTCTTATCTGGGATTTATTCTCAGCTAAAAAGAAAATCTACAAATACTCGAAATGACATTTAGGCACAACTGAGAAATTATTAAGAGAAATGAAATCGTTTGATCTGAAATCTGAGGGTGAAAGTGAAACAGAAGCGAGAAACAAATTTCTTAAGAATGAACACATTTTAAGGATTAATTTGTGCGAAAACTGTCGTCTGTGAAATGATTGAACGTGTGGCAGATTGGCATATAAATATCTGCGTCTAAAGGCAGGTTATAACTGTTGACTTTTTTTTAACGTAATTTTAGAGATTGTGACCTAAGTTTTTAGTTTGTTCATCATTTAACATTTTTCAGGTTAGACCAAACATTGCATGATTCAAATAAAAGTGGACTACATTTAAAACATACCGTCAAATTCTGTGTATAAGACACACTTTAATAACTTTGTCATCTTAAAGGTCTGCTGTGTCGAATACTGTATACCTGTGCGACCAACATACCAGTCTAAAATGCACAGATACACAGCTGCACAGAAACTGCACATTGAAGACTCGAAATCATCAGAAATTAGTTTAAACCTTTTTTCCCTCGGAGAGACCCCAAAACAAACTGTGGCTTATAGCAGAGAGATTTGATTATTTTAAATGTGCAAAATAAATGATAATTTCAGTAATTATAAGAGTGTAAGTAAGCTTCTTGAGTCTTGAGTGTTTGTTGATTTTGTCTTAAGTTGTAACAACAAATCCCAGATAAGATAAGAACACTTTGGGAAATGAGTCATCTTAAAAACTTGTAAATGATTTGGGGCGCGCTGGTGGCGCAATGGTTAGGGCGCGCGTCCCATGTATTGAGACTCTCGTCTCGAGCGGTAGGCCCAGGTTCGCCTCCACCCGTGGCCCCCCTCCGCATGTCATTCCCCACTCTCTCTCCCTGGCTTCCGACTCTATCCATTGTCCTCTCTCTGCATTAAAAAGGCACGAAAAAAACTTGTAAATGAGTTGAGGAGAAATATCTTCCTAAGAAGAGTTGGTGACTGGGGTTCATCGATCTTTTCTCAACCTTACTAGTCGAGCTCTTTTTAAAAACCATGAATACAGAGGTCCATAAATCCTTTCAGCGCAACGCCACACATCAAAGTCTGTTAATAGCTGTTAAGACGCACAATTTAAAGACAATCACTCCGGTCACTCAAAGAGAAATCATCAGTTTACCCAGGACTGAAACAAGAGCACGGGCAGATCCATCAATCACATTCTCAGGGAGCGATATCTCTACTTCCTCCGTCAAAGTCTCATCTGCAAACAGAGAACAAATCCTTTACAGAGAAGAACAAAAACAGGGACTCAGTATGCAAACAAAGATGTCAAAAAGATTGACATGATGATGTGGGGAAGAATCTCTGTCATTGACCACGCTGACCTTTGGGACAGAGCAGCCAGTTGTGGGTCTTGATCACCTCGGTTCCTTCAGCCTGAGGAGCAGAGATGATGTCAGTTCCACATATTTTGCATGTGATGCTATTGATAATACTGTAATACTACACAAAAGAAAAGCTGATCTCAATATCATGTCCAGTCTTTTTGTAGCCTGGTGCTATGACACTTTGATACATATAAACACTGGTCTAAATTAGACACATGTATACATGATTTTAAGTATTTGGTTGTCTGTGCAGTGAAGCGCCTGTTTCTTCTTTACTTGACGCTAAATGTGAAAGTTACTGATCACTCTGCAGGCTCAGAGGAAACAACCTGACTACTGTCAGTTGTCAAGTTTGTCTAATACAAATCAGGAGAAGCAGCAGCCAGATATTTCTCTGTTGAGCCAAGAAAAAAAGAAAGATGACAACAAAGCCAGAGTGCTGTCTCATATAGAGGTCAACCCCAAATAAAAGCAGGGTGAGTGCATAGATTCAAGTAAATAAAATCCAGATATATTAATTTGAGTTTCGCTCTATGAGTTACAGATTATTTTTCATTGTGTTGTAAGGTACAAACCTTTACAATGAGGGATTTTGTGACCACGTCAACGCGACCTCTCTCTGGCACGCTCACTATCTCATTGTCACATGAAGCGTGAGACGCCACAGCCTCAGCGGTCACAGACACGTTCACAACCCCTGAAACAAAGGGGAAAAACACATTATAAACTATATGCCAGATAGACTGTTTTCACTAGAGTAAAACAACAAGTTTGAATCCATTTCAGTGTAGGAATACAAAGGAACTTTACTAACTTTATGTTCTAGTTTATAGTTTTTTTTAATGCTTTTGTGAGGATGAGTATGAAGGCAGTTTGAGCAGCTTGTATAGAACAGTTGGTGCTGTCACACACATGCACAAAACTCCTGAAAACAAACTAAAGATTTTAGGGCTGAGGTGCATGTGTGAACTTAAACAGCTGAATGTTTCACTCTGACTTTACCCAGACTTATTCCTGCCAGCCCTGCAATACATTTTCAACATGAAGTTGGGGTGAACTCAGCAGGAAATATTCAGGACAATTCACTGCAAGCAAGCAAGAAGCGGTGATGATGTCAATATCCTCTGACTGATATACTTGAACATATTGTAAAGGTACATATTTTTATCATAGCGTTGGACCACTCCTGGGACACAAGCGACTCGGGAAGATATCAGGAACAGCCTGTCTGAAACTTACTCGACATTTTCAGGGGAGCACGAGTAAAAACGTCTAGTGTCACATAGACAACAATAAACTTGTCCCTCACCTAAAGCTGTGGGATCCATGACCCAGCTGAGGGTCTTGCGCTCGTTGCCACACAAACAGGATGTGTACTGGTCACCAGAGAGGGGGGTGAGGGTGTAATCCAAGGAGGAGGCTGGAGTCACAGTGACCTGTTCAAAAGAGACAACTCTGTATTTTATGATGTTCATTTTAATGTTAGTTTCACGTTATTTTAACTGATTTCAAGTATTAAAAGACATACAAGTATGTTGTTAGTACTGAAGATATATCTGCTTTACTGGAGTATTTTCTAACAACTATTTACTTTAACCCCTTCATATTACAGCCTCTCCTTTTTTTAAGGTGAATTTTGGGGCTAGTTATGCCTTTATTTGAGAGACAGGACTGTGGATAGAGATAGAGAGAGAGCGGGGAATGACATGCAGGAAAGGTCTGATTCGAACCCGGGCCGTCCTCTGTACCTCTTGTAGCCGTCATCAGCAGCCACGTTTTACAACCTCTCTTCCTGCAGGACTCAGGACTGTGGATTACCATCTGGGTTACTTTTTACCAAGTCTCCCTCTCAGACAGGCTCTGGAGGACAGGATATTATGAACTTTTACAACGCCTGGAATAAACAATCGAGCGGAAACAAAACACTCTGCTATCTATGAATTGACCTCAAAGACATGAACTATGACCAAAACCAGTCTCTGCAAAGTCGTAAAATTGACCATCTGTTGAAGGACTGCTGAAGAACTGATTAAACCACAGCGTTCAATTCTGCATCAAAATGAACATTTATGTCTTTCTTCATCTAGATATTTGTAATTTTCACATTGAATGTATTATAATCATCTTTTTAAACTCAAAATCTGATTTTCATAATAGGAATAAGAGTTATATTAGTTTAATAGAAATTTGACGTGGAGCGCCATCTAGTGTTAGAATAGCCATGAATACGTAACCTTCATAATTATACATTTAATTATACATTTAGACGTGTTATAAAGCATACTCTTTGATATTAGCTATAGAAGGTGTTATTTAAAGACACCATCTTCTTTTCCTACTTTATTAATATGTCTTAATAAGAATGTTGACTGAATAACATGTTTTTGTTCACCTACAGGCTGGGATTGACTGAGGATGTTCCCGGATGGTTTGATTTTCATCTCAACATGAATCTGATAGAAATGCTTGTCTAAGCATGACGTGAACCTACATAAACGTGGATCTGATAGAAATGATATCGAAATGAATGTATGGTGACGTATATATATTTAGATTCTTATTCTTAATCTTATTGCGTAAACTCGGTTTAGTTTAAACAGTTGTCCTCCGGTCAGAGTGGGAGTGACCCTTCTCCTGCAGCTGATAAGAGTTCACACTGAGCTCAGATCTCCAGTTTTTAGTTTAGTTTTTGGTTTGTTGAAGTTTAGAGCTTCAGCTCTAGCTCGCTTCTCTTCGGACTTCGGTCCGAATCACTTCTTTTAACTTTGTGCCGTAGAGACGAGTCTCTGCCGAACTTTCTTTTTCATGCGCAATTTTTGGAAACATCAATTCTTTCTGGCTTAAGCAAGGTTTTTGAACTTTCTTCTCCAAAGTCTTTGCTCTTCAATTTTGAACACCAATTCCTTAGTTTGGATTCATTGAGATGGCCATCTGTCATCTAATCTGAATTGGAAATCGACGTATCAAAAGACTCTTTAATAATTTTTTTCTGTTGGATCCTCTTGGAGCTTCTGAGACGACGGCTGAACCGACGTACAATCTCCACCCCAGCTGCACACTCCGACCAAGTTGTCAAGGCATCTAATCTGGCCCGTGGACCTCTCTGGGCCTGAAAAGAACCGCTTGCCAGAGACTGAAGCGCGGGACCAGCCGGCGGAGTTCAATTGAACACATCTCACAGTAAGACTGCTGGTGGCAAGGGGTGTTGGAAGATTAAGTCTTGAGTCATGTCTATTCAGAGCTCCTTTAAATCCAAATAGAATCCCAAAATTCGTTTATCAACTTTTTCCTTTTTGACCATTTTCTGATTAAGTCATTCAAACAACATTGCGTCTTATCTCATTACTAAATATATAATGTCACCATACATTATAATTGCATTATCCTGATCATAATAATCATATTCTTTATCTGTTTCATCTATACCTCATTGTTTACTCCTTTTTATGTTATATTTTACACATAAAATTCAGAACTTTGTCTGTGTTTTCTTGCTTAACATTTCCAGAACTTACTTCTTTCAAGATATGAAACTGACTGATTAATTAATTAACTTATACCATTAAAGTTATTTTCTTCCTTTAAACAGGAAGTGCTGCCTCTTCTTAAATCCGAGGTTAAATAAAGAAATAACATCTTAATAATTGAATTACGCTACATAAATGGTACCCCATGTGAGGCAGAAATCGCCTAAATAATTAAATGACACAGACAAATTACATCATGCCCTATAGAATAACAGCAAACGTTCATTTATAAACTCCTGAGCCTCCTTTCTTAATTGATATTTAATCGCTTTCACTTATGTTTCATGTGCGCGCTTGTGCGTTTATTTCTAAACATTGTGTGCGTCACAGCCTGTCAGCTGTGACACTGTCTTGCGTCACTGTATGCCGATCAGCTGAGCGTGTAAACAGCTTATCAGCTGAACTGCTCTCGCGGTCAGAGCGAGTGTGTGAGTTTCTGTAAGTGCTGCCGATGCACTCAGGTAACAGTTTGACTCCGTCTAAAACGGACATTATTGAGCATCGCCACACGCAATTATTGATCAAGGCCTAATCTGAACCGCTTTCTTTTGTGAGTCTCCGAATTAAAGTAAGGTTTAGCCGTGCAGGACAGATATACTACGAGCTTCTAGTATCTTCTCGAACCCACGGGACCCCGTTATTAGTGAACGAAATAGCTAATCGTAAACTTTTAAACGCATTTACCTTAGCAAGGAAAGCTAAGCTAGCGTATTTTCAGCAATAAAGCTAAAGGTCCGAGGACACTTCAGGTGTTCTTCTTTGTGTAGCATTAGAGGCTACTTTGAGTACATTTACAGTCTATGTTTGACACTCATCGCCCCCTGGTGGTACCTATGTGTGGTAACCTGACCACACCCCCTGTGAAACCAGCTGGTAGCTTGTACTTAAGCACCATCTGCTGGCTGTTTTAGGCAGTTGCTTTGACACTAGGTTTGGAACTTAATTGTTGTCTAGACTAGAGCGAATACATTTGGACACTGTCTCCAATCTCGTGATTGTTTTGGTTAACTGAGTTTTAAAATATCAGTGCTTCTTGAGAACTGGGACAAAACATGTCCGTGACATGCATTACAGTTTTTTAGCTAAAATAAGCAAAATATATTTAAAAAATAATAATAAAAATCCTAAACAGGAAAAGGGTAGCACAACAAAGTATGTTTTTATGTTGTCTTACATTTTGTTTCTAAATTCTAAATGATATGATATGTGACCAGTGCTTAGAAAAACCCATGTCCGGGAGCAGATCTCGTTACACTATAATACTTTAAAAAGCCCAAAAAGTAATATAAAATGTAACTTTATCATTATTAGGTGTAAATAGTATAGTATTTATTTCACAAGGATTAAAAAAAACAATTTTGAATTTTTTTTTAATGTACTTTCTGGTCCAATGAACATGTGCCCAGAGTTTTTGTCAACACCGTCAGACTTTTTTTAAATTGGGAAAAAAATCAGGATAATTTAGGGCAGCTATATCTCAAAGGACCCCTTTCCCTTCTCCCTGGTCTTCCTTATGCCATGAGAAAATTTTAGCTCTGGTAAGTTTTTAATAATACTTTGTATTTCATATCTATTTACTAATGTGCATGTGTCACAACCATAGCGTATCAACTCCAAAATGACTAAAAGTCAACATCTGTGTAAAGTTTTCTGCAATATAGCCTTAATTTATATAGATTAACTGGGTCATGACCAACAGATGTTAAAAACAAGATGGCCCCTGTGAGAATCATGTGTGATATATGGAGAAATGTGCTATTTTGTCAACACCATCAGACGTCAACACCATCAAAATTTTTGTCTGATGGTGTTGACGCAAGTCTCTGATGGTGTTGACTAATGCCATTTTAGTGTCCAATTTAAGCATTTTAATGTAGTTAAAACCAATAATATCACTTATGCATTTTATTGCTATTGTAGTTTCATGTGTCGAATTCAAACAGTTTTGATGTACAGTAGCCTACTTGAATGTGTTTAACTGAATTTCATTGAAGTTGTCTCTCAACCTGATATGTAATAAAGTGTTGCATGCTTATCCATAATAATAATAATAAATGCATAATCCGTATGCATTTCAGGCTAGAATGGCTAGACAGAAGTTGTCAGTGGAGGAGCAAAAGAAAATAAACCGAGAGTATCAAAAGAGAAGGAGAGAAAAACTTAATAGCCAGCCTGAGCTGAAGGTGGAGTTCCTGACAAAGGAGAGGGAAAGATGGAGAAACAGGGTTGATAAAGGCTAAATTAAAAAGATCAATGATTTGGAAGAGAGCAAAGAGGCGAAAGAGGAAGTATTGGAAACAGTTCCAGAAAGAATCAAGAGAACGAAAGAAAAGAGCAGAGGAAAGGCAGCAAGATTTAGATACTCCGCCAGAGAGTCCTTTAGACATCAGCGTTGAGGAGCAACAGGCAACTGTATGCTGGTTTGAGGGAGAGAGCTAAAACCAGAAAAAGACATTCCAGAGAGATTAAAGCATTGACAGACAAACATGATAAATTGGCAAAAGAAGCTGACAAGCACACAGCTGAGAACACAGCACACTCAGGAAGGCACAACTCATAAGAATGCTCAAGACTCGCATTGGACCCAGACTGAAAAGATGCTTGAAGGGAGCAGACTCAGAAATCCTTTAATAAAAAAGTCATTGCTCTTCCACCATGTAATGACTGCAGAGCTGAGAAGAAATGCTCCTCAAAAAAAGAAGCAAGCTTGCATCACAGCATCCACAGCTGGCGTTGTCTGGTAGAATTCTCAAGAAATATCGACTGATGCAACGGGTTCATGAATTTGGCTTGACATACAAAACACTGAGAGAAAAGTTACTGAACCAAAGGAAGCCTTCATTCCTTAAGACTATCTCCCATAATGTCCAAACATTTTTGGAAAACAATGCAAGGATAACTACAGACAA